TATATATATGGAGTGGCTTCCGAAACGGTTCTGCCTGTCAACAATTGTTGGTTAGGGTGGTGATATGCTAATTTTGATGCCGGCGGCAAAACGTTCAGCGGTTTGATGGGAGCTATTATCTGGCCTAGTCATGATGACTTAGCAGTGAGTACTAGCATCAGCTTTTTTATACCAAAGCTCTGGCCTCATCCGTGAGTTTCTTCAACTTTCAGCGACGAAGCGCTCTTCCTCAAGACAAGTTACCGTCACACTCGGCGCCTCGTATGTAGGAATGAATAACAGGGTAGAAAACCAGTAGTCAGATTATCACGAGTACTGTCATTTTGTATTATAAAAGTAGTCTGACCGAGGTTGATCAGAAATTCGGGCTTAGTTGTTGAACTCATACTCAAGTAACTTATCTAGTAGATTCAGTGCCGCTTCCGTGATGGTTTGGAATTGGTACTTTGAGGGCCTACGAGTCCGATTCTTCTCAGGTATACATGAGCGGGAGTTTTCCAGGTTCAGGTGGGTGTGGTTGTGTTCGATAACCGTTCTGGATGATGTGGATGAGAAGTGTTATCCGTCAAAGCTCTCCAGACAGTGGAGACGGTATCTCTACATGTCGCTGTATCAAGTATCAGAGCTGAAACTAGGATTACAGACTTTTTTAAACTTGTATGGAAGCTCTCACAATGTCGGTACTTCTGGCGTCCTGGAATTCGAGTCCTGTTCTTTAATTGACAGTAAACCAGATTACTGTGAAATGCGACTATCGATCATTCGTTTTACATAACCTATCCAGCTTTGCCTGTTACGCAATAAGGCGCTTTTGATTCAGTCGATTCTATGTTCGATCGTTTCGCGATTCGATCTGATCACTTAATTCCTAATGTCTTGCGCATGCAGCATAAGTTGAGCTGGTCAAGTACTCTAATGTATCGTCGATAGGGTGTCCACGTCTCGTTGTCCTGTTGTTATGGAGACTGTACAACAGCTTGGCCCACCGCGACCTTTGTGTTCATGTGCAGATTTTAATTGATCCGAACGCCTTTACGTACGCAATCGAAAGCAGCCTGGTACCACAAGCATGTAGGTGAACGTCGATTGTTAAGTCTGGAGAAGGTTTTGCCGAGTTAGCGGAAGTTTTCACAACGTGCTGTGTCCACTGATATGCATAGGCGATGCCCTTTATTGTAAACTCTGGGCAGGCTGGCGAAAGACGAGTGTCTTAAACCATTAATATTCAGGTCAAAGCTAGATTCTGTCAAGACAAAAGCAGTGATTGTTCGCCGCAGTTCCACCTCTAAATGTGCGTATAAGTCACAGTCATCCGTAAAACAGCATACACATCTTTGGCTGCTGTAGCTTCGTTTTGGCCAAAAGGCGTTTTGAGTTGATGAGGTGATCACCTAGAAAGGGTTGGATCGGTACTCACCGAATCTTTCAGCACAAATCGTAGCTGAACAGATTTGAACAAAAGTTCTCAATTTCTGTTGCTTGTTTCGAACTTGACAGAGTTCATTCCACAGTTAGATACTCAGGCACTTACTGGTGCAAAGGGAATCTATAATGTTACTGGCTTTTTGAGGCAGTTGAGCTTTCCGAGAACAACCCACGAAGTCAGTTTCCTCATGAAGTCAACACACAAATTTCGTAACGGTTGATTCCGTTTCTGGCATTTTTCTTGAAGCTGGCACACTGCAACGATGAGGGGAATCGTGCTACCTTCGCTTCGGAATCCATTCTGCTCTTCAGGGGTATTTTCTTCCAGATTATCAACCTGAGTGGGCAGCGTGCCGTGATTTTGCCTGCGGTGCAGAAAAGACTTATTTCTCTGTTTTCTGTCTGACTCGATTCCCTTTGAAAGGTGGTACGACTCTGCGTCCCATAACTCTTGTGAGACATTTCAGGTCTCCAAAGTCAGGTGAAAAACTCCACCTTCCAATGCTGGTCCACCCACTTTGAACATCCCAAAAGGCATTCTCTCTTCTTCCAGTGTTCATTCTTCAGTCCGCCAATATGGTTCAAAAGCTGGGTTCTAGAATTGTGAAGCTCTTGTGGCGCTTGCTAGCCTGTTGGTCCCTGAAGCGTCGTGATAAAAGCCGTAATTTTCTCATAGACCAGAAGGATATACATGCATCACTTTCATAAAACCGGTCTTAATGACCAATTTTAGCATTCAGTGACCGTCGATTACACACACTTCCGTTTTAATGCTTGTTATCATCTTACGGAAATAGTTACTCAGTCACTCTACCCTTGTCATTTTTCATGTGGGCAATTTGAGAGATGGTGATCCTACTCCACATGGACGTGAAAGTTTTGTACTACTTGCAATCCTACTGGCGATATGTTTTGTCTGCTACGTGTAGCAGTTTTGACTCCATCTGTGCTTCAATGATTTAATAAATTCTCGTAACTCCAGCACATACGCTCGCACATATAATTTCCGTAGTTTGCAAACTGAATATGCAAATCCGCAAAACAAAACGATCGTTTGTGCGCCACTATTCCCATACCTGATCGAGCACCTCGAAACACACACACACAGTCTGCATCGACAACCTGAACATTTACAGACCGACAATTCGCTTTGATGTTGTTCTGAGACCTTTCCAACTTTCTAATCAAGAGTAAATTTTTTGTACCTTTGTTCGTCTAGCCGAATTTGGCAGTCTAATATAAAATGATTGCCGCAGATGTGTAATGAAACATGGTTGCCTCCAGCCAAATGTGTTTGGTCGCTTACTAAAATCCACTGTAAATCACGTTGTAATCGGTGGATTAACGCTAGCCAATCAAATATCAGAGCCGTGTAGCGTATCCTGATCATGCAGCTGGCGTCGGTCAACTAGGGGCGGTTGCTGCACGCTGATTTCCTCCCCCATGGTTCAGTATACACAGTTTGCGCAGTGTAGTTTTCTGGGTCCATACCATCAGTTTATTCCAACCGATCACCGAGACTCTCTCACCTAGTCTCCTGTACTCCAGCCATGGTATATCGAGTGCCGATCCTCTCTTTGAACGAGTGATGTATTGGGGATTCGAAGAGCGCATGTCGATGTGGTACCTGAACGGTGTGATTCTGACAGGATGTATTTGGAAGTGGCGTTACGTGTTAGTCCTGAGGAGACCTTCCCTTAGGCGTGTTACACTCTGTCCAACGCTGATGTGTAGATATGCCGTATGCATGAAATACCACCAGATCCTTTTCCATTCAACCTTTGTTTTGATGTAGTTGTATCCTCCGCTAAGCAGTGGTCTCCTAAAGAACCGATTAATTTGGTAGGCATAGCATCATGCACATACCGTGTACCTCTTTGGCAAGATCATTCTGTTGACCTACTCCATGCTTTGGAAGTGCGGTTTTAGCTTAACTCTCGTTAAGCGTACTCCTGGATTTGACTTGAGTTGCGCTCACAGTATAAGTGATGGAAGTTTAACAGGGGTTTGTATTTATCACCTGATAACAATGTTGTACCTGGGGTATCCCTGCATTTGGATTTAGAAAACAGTGTGATCGAATAAACCTCCTCCACTGCTGTCCTGTTGTTCTCTCAACTACGTCGCTCTGAGCGATCCAACAGGTTTTGATTGAGGGATTCTCCGTGCGAGTACACCGTAACTGACTGTACAACTAAACAGAAGAGCGCAGACGGGTTTTTGATCAGGTGACAGTCGGTATATTCGCCGGGCCTGGCAATTAGCTTGCAAATATTTCGTCAGCATACTAGGTGGTACTGTCAGTGTGTGACCGGATGGTTATCTCCTCCGGGCCTGCTTGCGTTTGTATCATTTCTAAAGCGTATTTGATAACTTACCTGATTGGTCGTTGTAGAAGTATCGCTTTTATGTATCTGACTGGTCCATTTGTAACTCGAGCCTCCTTGTGGTCATATTTGCCTACGTTCGGATGTGTTTATCTCATGGTCCTGTTCTGTCGTCCGGATTAGCCCGTTTGCGTATATCCTATCTTGCTTATCTGTCTGTCTTCCTGTCAGCTTGACACCTATTTTTGGTGGTTTTCGTTCTTGGATCTGACTGGTCTATTCTGAAGTTCTTGGCGTTTTGGTCTACTGTTATGCATTCTGACTGGTTGGTGTGGCTCTTTCTCACTGCGCAAATTCTTTTTAGCCTTTTGGTCCTGTCTTGCGTGTGGCTTGGCAGCATCTGTGTATATTACTTCCTGTTGGCCTCTCCGTGGGTTTCGTGTGCATTTCTGAGCTTGGTGGTTCCGGCGTTCTTTTGTTTTCAGGGGTTGATCAACCTCATCGTGTTTCTTGATAGATACCTGGGTTGGGTACTGCATTTCCGTAAATTCACGTTCCTTTTTTGTTTTACCTGGCGCTACTTTATTGATTCAGCTCCCGTTGGATTGGTGTCCATCTCGATCTCCGTGTACGGAGACAGGTGAAAACTGGTGATTTCTCCAAACGAAAACTTGGTGTTCATGCAATATGTTAGTTAGCTTCCTTTCTTCCTTCCTTTGTCCCACGTTGTTTTAGGGCTTTTATGTGACATTGGCCTTATTCAAGGTTTTGTTACTACTCTACGAAGTGTGTTCGTAGGCTTGTGGGCTACTGTTATGTTATACTTTTGTAAGGTTCTTGAAATCATTTCAGAAGTGCCCTTGATATAAGGGGGGAGTGTAATTCCCTCGCGGTTTCTGTGTTTTCTTTATTCGATCTGGTTACGTATTTGTCTCGACAACCACCTGGTAAAAAATTTCAGGTGATCTGTCCTCTGGCCTCCTTGGTATAAATGTCCTTCCTTGTTAGCTTTAGTTTCTATGGTGTTGCTGTGTGTTTAGATCCGCTGTTCGGATGCCGTTTTGTTTATAGAATCCGGGTGGTCTATGCAAAGTTTACGAGAGAAAAGGTCATTCAAGTTATTCTACATGGAGACTCCTGAAACAAAAACGTAGTAGATCGACCAATTAAACAGCGCAAGGAAAACGCAAGGGAATTACACCTCCTTACACCAGGAAAGCTGCTGAGTTCAAGTAGAACATAAGGTTGACGGAAACTCGGGAACTGCGCCTACCTGATGAGCCCGAAACAGAAGGGCGAAAGTGATCGTGGGCTGTCGAAGAGTATTTAGCAACCTTGTGAGTAGTTTCCTTTATGAAAATATACTGCGATATCTCGAATATCGTGCCAATGGAATCATGAGGCGGCCTGTGTGCAGCACATTCAGTTGTAGAATATCATAAACGAGAGATTCCACTTGAGTCCTCGTGAAAACCAAACTGGTTTTCAGATGAGTGTTTTTCTCGAAAGCTTCTGAACCGTTTAGAGGAATCTTACGAGAGTACAACGCAAAGGTAGACTGCACACTACAAACACAGTTCGGAGAGCACTATCAAAGCCGTGATGAATTCCAGCATTATGTACAAACTCCAATGTAATGATTGCGATGCACAAACCATGGGACGAATAGAAAGGATATTGTTTATGGAATGAGGGACTAGTGTATTTCGGTAAAACCCAAAACTTATCTCATTTGCTGTCACGCACTGGCGACGAATCTAACCAACGATAGTGGAAGGTCCTTAATTGTTGAAAGAAACTTGAAAAACCCAACCCAAAATGGTCTTTTGTGAGAAGCGGGTGTTGTAGTGTGTGGCCTGTCCAGTGAGGGCTGCCTCTATTATCGAGAAAACTCCGAGCTCCGAAAAAAATGTTCACACCGACACCACGTGGTTTTGTGTACTGAGAAGGCGCGTATTGGTACGTACGCATTTGTTGACATAAAGCCGAACTGTTTACTTGTTTCGAAGCGCAGTATGCAGTCTCTAGACTGAGCACCGTCGCAGCAGACCACCCGCAAGAGAACAATTTCATTTGATCCCGCAAAGCATAGTTCTATACTAAGCGTCTTCTCAGAAGGGACTGCTTTTGATCGGTTGTTTGATGTGGCCTTCTAAGAGGAGACAAGTGTACAATTGTATCTTTTCAAAGATGCAAACTGTAAAAGGTGATCCTTTCCTTCTAAGGTGGATAAATGTAGTAATTTGTGTGGCGTTTGGGAACCATCTGTTAAGAATCACTACTTGGTTGATAGTTTGTCCCTGCTGAGACAAATTTGACCAACAAAATAAAGTCAGAAGGGAGCAACAAACAAATCACCTTATCCGACGGAAAGTGTCTACAGAGGGATTGTACTTATTTTGCCTTGTACGGGTGAAAATCATGTTGCAGGAAATTTAATCACTTAAGATCAAACAGATTTATATTTGTAATGCGCTATTCGTAAAGTTGTTGAAAATCCGTCGACAGCCCATGAACGGTTTCGCCCTTTTTGGGGCTCATCAGATAGGTGCAATCCCCGGGTTTCCATCAACCTCGTGTTCTACTTGATACCAAATTGTACGAAATTAGCGAATATACACTCATTTGCAAACTAATTTGGTTTTTCGGGAGACTCACCTGGAACCCAGCTGAATCTCCCGTTTGTGATATCTCCGCAATTTTTCCGGAATTCCAGTGAAGGAATTTCGCACCCTGGTTGTTCTTCCTGAAAGGGAATTTCACTACACAGGGCGGCCTTTGTTGGGAGTTGAGCAGTATTGATTTCAAGAGAAATCCCACGTAACCACAACAAGGTGACTGTGGGTGCACTTTGAGCTATCCTGGAAAAGTTTTTTTTGCGGCTGCTGTACGGCAAAGTGATGGACCACACAAAATGTCAAGCACTGTGCAAGAGGAACGTTAAGGTCAGACGAAACATCGCTAGGTAAAATCGAACAGACTTCCATTTTAGTCAAGTATGGGCAGGAAGGGCAATTTTGCGTGAGTCATACGATGTGCTTCACTCTGATCACGTGAGTGGTTCAGCTGAGTTGGTTGGATGACCTTTGCAAAACAGAGGGGGCTCAGGAAGCTAGGCTAGGTGCAGCGTTTGCGCAAGGCATACAGGCATCTGGTTTGCAGTTTTATCACTTACCTCAAAACCTCGGAATCCTTACTAACGACCACTGTTTTCCAAGGACTGTAGCTCGCGTCAAACTATTCTTAGTTGCATCGGTTTCATCAGATTGGAAGACAGTCCACAGCCTTTTCACGTTTTTTACTGTTTCTTTGTCCACATCGTCCGTAGCCCCTGTGAAACGTTGTTTCCTTTGTAAGCCTTTCACTCACTTCTGGACCAACGAAGCGTATTCCTTAAGACATTATTCGCCATAGAAAATTTTCATAGGTTGGGCATGTCTGGATGTACATTCACTCCTTTGTATGATGAACGCCCACCGTGATAGAACTATATCGCGAGTTCTTTCGAGTCATTCATACTTGATCGGAACGCGTCCAGGTTTGGACACAGTTTCAATAGGAGTTGGCTGTTTCCTATGCTCTTCTGGCCTTCTCTACTCAAGGAGAATCAACGAACCGTTGAAACTTTACCCAGCGGATCCTAGTTACTGTCAGCAACCAGAGCGCATAGATGGAGATATCATTATTAGGTTCTACTTGGCAAAACACCGAGTCACCTTGAAAATTAACTCTTTGTTGTTTCCACCTTTATAGTCAGAGTTCACAATCGCATTTGGAAGTATAAGGGTTCTAATTAGTCAAAGGTATTTGGTTACATCTGAGACAGCGCTTCTGTATTACAATGAAGTATTTCGAGTCCATTTCATTCCTGACTGTTCACACATTCCTCGGTTTCCCATGATTTTTTTAAACTGTCAAGCTTCTGTCGATGAAATCGTTGGACCGAGATGTGTTGCGGTGGATTTCGATGATGGAGATCACCGCCAGGTGCCTATTGATCATATCAGGATGCTACCAGACCACTTTACCAATTTGTATCAGTTAGCTAGTGAGACAAGAGGAAAAGGACTTTCGAGCCCTTTTCTACAAGCTACCTCGCCAAGCCGTCGATCTTTTCTCGATCCGCACCCAACCTGCAGCGGATTGAAACGAAGAATTCGACACCACAGTGATCTCAGTGCATCCACTAACTCTTCCGACAAGCGGACTCGATGTATTCCGCCGGCAACAATTTCGAGCAACAGTGATGCACATGGCAGCGAACGGAATGGAACAATTCGGTGTCGTATTACAAGTAAGTTGTTATTCAATTTCGACCAGGCTAGTCACACGCTATAAGCTATGGGATTCGTGTTCCTTTTATGTTTATACGAAACTGTCTATAAATGATTCGAGGTTCGAACCCGACCTCTGCCTCTCGACTTTCCCTGTCTAGGCTTGGGCAACCTGGCAGCATCCCAGCCCTCGTGCTTCCTTCGGGTTGCATGGAAGTTGAGCACCGAAAGGGTGCTACAGCTGGATGAGTATTTTTTTTCAAAGGAGACAACTGATACGTGTACATCGAGGCCTGAGTTGTCCAACATTCCCCAGTTTTCAGTATGGCCCTGCCCATTCAGAAGTAACTGGACAAATAGTTTTTTTCAAAGGAGACAACTGATACGTGCACATCGAGGCCTGAGTTGTCCAACACTCCCCATTTTTCAGTATGGACCTGCCCATTCAGAAGTAACTGGACAAATACTGCAATCTCTATTGGAGGGACAAGTGTATTATCAAGTGTGCTTCTTGCCAAGTTCTGCGTTTTTTTTTGGGTGGGGGTGGGGGCTGGGAACTTTCTCTGTGAACATCCCCTGGTTTCAGATAAATGACGAACGAAGCATAAATTATCCGACTTTTCTCCATTATATTACTATCAAAAAATGGTTTTGCACCTCACCAACGTGAAGGATTTGCCCTCATTCGGTCATATAGTTTTTGGGCACGCGGATCCTTCTCACGACTCTCTGGCCAGCTACACACCTCAGCATCATGCACTCACTGACGAGAACTGTTCAGGTCACACTTCCAAATCAAATCCAGTTTCAGCATCGAAACGGGCGGTAAAAGTTAGCTTAGGTGCTGCTAAGCACATAAGATTGAGTCCATCGGAGTAACTGACGTGAAACTTTGGAATTAACAATTTCAGTCTAGTCGAAGCACTATATGTATTTCGCCATAGCAACCACTGTCGGCACTTGGTGGTCACTCTGATCTAACCCGAGAGAAAAACTCTGTCATTGTTTTCAAGAACAGAGCACTTGCATAGACCAAACCAATTATACTAACCGCAGTAACCGACTCTTCATAACACACTGTATTGTGAAACTATGCCGCAAAAACAAGCAGCCAACCTTTACACAGTTCATCGACCTTCGGGTGGTACGCTACTCCAAAATCGAGAAATTATATAAATATGATATATAAAATGATTATTATTATATAATTACGATGGAATCGGGAAGTGTTTCAGAGAAGTTAAGTACGCAGTTTAGATCGTACTTCAAAGATACAGCGGAGAGACTTCAAAGTTGTGATGACATTAGGGAGTTCAACAAGGCTGTTCACTGCCCCCAATAGTGTTTAACTTCATGGACGATTGCATCACACGCCAAGCTGTCAAGTGGCATACCGAAGTTGTATCCTGATTGGCGAATACGCTCAAGAAACAAATGCCATGCGCCCACTGTTGGTGAACATCATAATGTTAGAGCGTGCAAAGGACCCTCTTGGTCATTATGGTTTCATTCCCGCATGGGTTTTAGGTGGCCGCAAACTTTGCAGGCATGCAACCGTTCGAAGTGGTGCGAATAGTGTCATTTCGGGGATTTTTCATTAATTAACCTAAGTAGCGCTTAATCAAGGGTAATTCGTACTTCTTCGCCCATACTGACTTGGTCCATCATAAAGCACATAGAATCAATTCTGTGTGCAACCCAACGTAGCGTTTTCTTGGTAAATGGCGGTCAATGTTGGTTACCATACAGTTAGTGGTGATGCTCGCGCTAACCGAAAACCACTGCCTTTGGTCAACTATCTGGTACACTGACTGCAAGCTAGAAGAAGGCGCGCCCTGATTGGTGAGAATATCGGCCAATCAGAATCAAGCCCTTGAGTTTCGCGCTTCCCAACGCGCCCTGAATAGACATGTAATTTGCTGTTAAGGTACACTAATCGCCTTCACCTTGTCTCACGCGGGCTTTGACATGCATAAGTGAGCCTAATGGGGGCCCATTAGCCGCACAATGCTCTTAGCTGCAAATCTTTGCAAATGGAATAAAACGTTTGGCGCCAAAAATGTTACATTTTGCTCGTATGTGTTCACATCAAAAATCATCCTACTCTACTTCCGTATTTTCACAGCTCACCAAATTTCATTGTCCACTGAAGCAGTCAGACCCCTGGAATGGATCGAATACTTCCCTAGCATTGCTTAGACCCGAGATGCTTGGTTGGGGCTCAACAGTTTGGACTCGTACCGTGAACTCAATTGCCTGTATCTTTTGGTTCAGTAGGGACACGTTGTAGCTCTCGAAAATTCAATTCCATTGTGAGAATACTCAGCGCCGCCTAATGACAAACCAAAGACCAGTATGGGGGTTGCGTGATCACAGCTAATGGCGGAGTGGGACTGGTACCTGCATCACATCTGTAGTATCCGTTCTAGTTCATCTGAAATCAACGAAGAACCGAACTACCTAGAACATGACATTTTGACCACTGACCAACGTCCTGTTGCAACAGCTCCATCCGTCCCTGGAGCAGTCGTTTTCCATCAGGCCGATAAGCGTTTGTGGTAGGAGAGCTTCACTGTACGTTCAAATCCGGACATCTTGGGAGTATTTTTATACAGTCAGCGGGGGAAGGGGTTGTGTAGCCTTTTGCCGTTCCCTGTGTGAAGTGACCTAAGTTTTACAAGAGATGAATACGTGAGGATTGTTCTGACAGGTCGTTGGAATGAGTTCACGGAGAGCATCGTGGATGCCAGAAATGGTGGATAGGTTGAGGTTTCTTCGATGCCTTTATGAGCCGAAATGCCAATAGTAGTAAACGCTCCAATGACGCCACCGTCCATATTCAGATAGTTCATATCTGCTGTACAGAGAACGACATTTGTTTGTCTATCGACCCCGACTATACGGGGCGAACATGCGAAGTATACATGAAGAAATCGTCTTTACGCCGATGGTGGCTGGCTATGGGATAACTTCCTCCAAGGAATGGATTTGATTTTTCGTGGGGGACAAAATCGATGCAACTTTAAGGATGTGTGAGTTGAATTCACAGGCAGTGAATTTTCTGAAGGAAAGTTTGTAGTTGAAGTACTTCACTGAATTTCCTACATACTATCTCATGTTCTCCAAGATCATGTTTGGATGAGAAATGTACATGTTTTGTGTACTGTTTTTGAACGGGACGACTTGTGCTAACCTGATAGCTTATGTTTGCCCATTGACTTCGTTGTTCACCAACCTTTACACCGGTATCTTTCCAATTATCCTCGTCTGACGTCAGTCATGAATGTGTGAATGTGCGTTTTGTATACATGACTGTTCACATTACAGGTAGAAAAGCTTCCTCTACAAATTTTCGGTCAGCTTCCTGTACAGCAACAGCCAATTTGTGTGCGACATCTCAGGGACCAGATTTAAAAATGGCACCAACCAGTAATGCCCCACTCAGTGCGAGGCCTATTGGCGACGGTGTGAACATCAGTGTTGCATCTTCCTCTACGTTATCCAGTTGCCCTTCTGATTCTGATCTGCCCGAGCTACAACGCGGAAGTTGTTCATCAGCAACGAATGACAAGCTAGTGAGAAACAACCCACTGGTCGACAACGATGTGTCTTTGGATGTGCTATCATCCATTAGCAGCTCCTCAGACGCATCTCCATGGCACATTTTGGAGAAGGTGAGTAAATTTCGGTTGTTTTCGTCTTAGAATCATAGACCCTTGCTTTGACGCAGAGTCGTAGCTTGTTTCCGGAAGATCAATTTGATAAAGTTGTTCACGACATTTAGATGACCTCACAACGGTTATCGGCCATAAATTTACATAGTTCTTCTAAGTCGGCTTACACTTTCCCATCTATACCTCCTAACCCACACTGCTCCAGCTCAGGCGCAGGAGAAACGGACAAGTCTACTGCCGTTCAGTTGAACGAGACTCTGATGGACTGGTCGTATCGGTGGGGGATACTGTTGAATTCAGTTCTGGTCGTGATGATGTCTACCTCGGGATAATTCGCTCGATACGGTGGGACGATGCGACCGACAGCCCTTTTGTGGTGGCCGCATGGTAAGTAGCTTGTCCTGTGTTTCTAAGCTACTATGCCATAAATCATTAGGTTCAAGAACTTACCGCTCCTTTCAATACCAATTGAATGCATGGGTCCGCTGGAAGTGTTAGCAACCTAAACTTACAGGGACACTGTGTTAGAGCAGAGAAGCTCACACAAGGATCACGAATTATATTCATGCGTATTTGTGGATGTCATCTACCCAGAATAGTGTTAATTCAGGCTTGATCATTAATCACCATGAACTGATAACGAGATGTGCATGAACCGTGCCAGTCGAACTGGTCGTGTTCTTGATAGTTGTGTAAGTACTTCGGTTTTGAATTCGACTTTTCTTCCGAACCGACCTTGGCAGCGGTTTTTATATGTACCAAGACTGATTGAACCACTGCTGAACGACTTAAATCAACCTTAGCTGATTGTGCTTACCAGAATACCTAATGTTATGCGTGTGTGTGAGGAGCGTAGTTTGGGGGTAGCGATCGATCATTGAGTTGTCGATGGGGCTACAACTGAAGTGGAGTAAGTTGCTTCGGTTGCTGAAAACACATCTTTTATGAACGAAATTTGACTGGATTTTGTTATCGCAGTTGTCCGTACGAAGTATAGTCAAGTCAACTAACAGGGACATGAAACAGTTTTTCGAATTACTCTACTTCTGACTGAGATTTGTGTTTGTGTTCTGGTCTGTTGATATCAGCTCCTTTCTACCTGTTTAATTCAATCCGGTTGAATAACGAACTTAAGAGGAAGGCATTCTTACTTGATTTCAGTCGCCTCAGCAATGATCGGATGAGAATGACGTGATTAGTAGAACCAAGACTTTGCTCCCATCCAGTCAGAATCTGAATCATTGACTTCATTCGTAGGGTTTTTGATAGGAAAACTTGAGAAGTTGTTTCCAGAACATGGTTCTCAAGCCAATAAATATGTAGTGGTTAAAGGTGGTTTAACTATTGAAAAACATCAGTGTCCATTACATTCTGTATGAACAGCCGCCTCACTTATGTACTAAGACATTGACCGACTTGTCTGTCAACTGATTTTTGTCTCTGCTGAGAAGTGGGATGTGCATTTCCACGAGGTTCTTCTAGTGACCTTTGTCTTCCGCGTTGAAATTTCCCATTTCCTATACGTTTATTATCCGCTTGTCACCACATTCGGTCAAAAATTTGTGGCTGTCTGTTGATTTACACATGGCTTTCCTTATTTGCTCATTTAATCGCAATCAAGACATGAAAACTGATCGTCCTCTGTTCTTCTTACCCTCTGTATTCCCAAAACAACTTCGAAAACTGCAAACATATTTGATCATCTCAGAGGTGATCGTATTTTTTTTTTTGGGGGGGGGGTCAAAGTGCACATCTATATGGCGGTACTGCAGAAAGGGTCGTGGCCGAGTTAGGACGGAAATGCCTTTGCGATATTAACAAAAGGGAAAAACTGGCTTAATAGACACTAAAACAATGAGGCACTTAAGAGAAAACGTGAATGGGATCTATCAGGATTGCTTCCTCGCGAAGGGTTTCTGTTTAAGTTATTCAGTATTTGCCCCACGTTTCTGTCAGTACCATTTTGGCCTCCCCTAAGATTTTTCACTTTTATTGTCGAACCGTCAAACTCCTTCACATCTATATGGCGGTACTGCAGAAAGGGTCGTGGCCGAGTTAGGACGGAAATGCCTTTGCGATATTAACAAAAGGGAAAAACTGGCTTAATAGACACTAAAACAATGAGGCACTTAAGAGAAAACGTGAATGGGATCTATCAGGATTGCTTCCTCGCGAAGGGTTTCTGTTTAAGTTATTCAGTATTTGCCCCACGTTTCTGTCAGTACCATTTTGGCCTCCCCTAAGATTTTTCACTTTTATTGTCGAACCGTCAAACTCCTTAAGCATTCACCTTATCAACTCAAAACTAATTTATTTGGGGCAGCCGATTAGATTCGATGGATAATTTCTTCATTGTCATGATTGCGGTCAACTCTGTCCGCTTCCTATTACTGACTGACAATGCGCGTTTCACTTCTCTGACCGTTTTCTTGGAACTTTCTACCGATCTTTCTTCGATCTCAGAATCTCCCATCCAGTAGCGTTTGCTGTAAGTCGTTCTTTTACCCCATCGTACGTGTTCTTTAGGGAGTGCTCGAAAACCTTATCAAATCAATATGTAGATTGCTCTATAGGATTGTTTTCAACCCATGGCACAACAGCGAAAATATACCGTTCGGTACCATAATCAATACAGTATGATCCAACGTTTGGTACTCACCTCCTAGTTACCTCCTAAGTATGAGTCGTTCTGTTAGCAAGTCCTATATTTGGATTCCCAACCTACCTGGATAACTCAGGACTTAATGAAATAAACTTTGACTCCTGGGTGACTATGGTATGCCGGATTTCGGGAGCGATGTCAATTGGAGTACTTGCTTCTGAGCACAACCCATTGATGCAACATCACAGAACTGGGTTAGCCAATGACACCCCCTACAGCCAGCCCTGGGAACCATATCACTCGACCTTGCCGCATGTCTATTCCATAAGTTGAACACTATGATTATACTGTACAGTAGGAGTACTGGAAAAGTTCCCACCCCGTTCCTACCCAGGTGGTGTTTGTTTTCAATTTCAAACTTGGCCAAAGATCCTAAAATAGTAGGGCAAATTGAATTTGAAAAAGCATGCTCATTAGGTTGCAGGTTTTCAGGGAATGTATTCATAGCAGTCCAGGTTTTTACTTTGGTGGCAACTGGGTTCAGACTAGCGTACTATGTGTAAAAAGTTTAAATTTTTTAGAATCCCCGAAAGACTACTTTTATTCAGAAGTGAACATCGAGCTCATACGAGCTTGCCCACCTAAGTTAGAAATGCAACGGAAATTGATATCATGTATTGGGAAAAAATAATGAAAGCAGGCATAGACACAATCCACCACTCTCAAATTTGCTTCGACTGCCCACGATCGGCAGACACGGTCCCCAAGTTTCCGTCGACCTTGGGTTCTATTTGAACCCAAATTGTACGAAATTAGCATACCAAGTTGGTTTTGACGGGCTACTCACCTGAAACCCAGTTGGATCTCTCGTTTACGATGAATCTTCCATGAAACCCAAATTAGTATGTGGGTGCTTGGTTTTTAGGCACTTCGTTTATGGTAAACAAATTACACCCCCTTTCCGCCTAGTTTAGGCTATCATTTCAAATATAACAACGTGTGAGCTGGCTGTTGATTTGTTCAATTAGGCGTCACCATACGGCGGGAGATTTCGTCAGTGCGCTCAGTTAATGGATCCTGGGTACCAAGGTTTCGATGCATTGTCACCGTGTGAACTCTTGGTGAATGAGTACACCGCAAGCGGATGCCGCTGCAATATATGAATGTAGCATTAATCTCAGGAGCCATGCAATCCTCTGGAGATTTGTTCAGACTTTGATCTTGAAAGTGAATCCGGAATTGAACTCTCTGGCTTATTCGGAATGACAACTGTCGACCAACATTTTGTCCTGATCCCTCACCAAATAATTTGGGCCGAAAAAGAGCCTCGCGAGTTACTCTGATGTTTTAAAAAGCTCTTGTATTTCTTGGATTAATTAGTCAATTTATCATGGCGCAAAAACCTTTTCAACCTGCGAACCTCCTTCAAGACGTTGCTTCGCCAAAGATCTTATTGCAAGTTATCCGAAGAGTAAAATGTTAGTAGCTCAGGTAGCGTACGTAGTTGTTGGTCTGTTCGCTGAGTTGGGCCATTTGACTGCCAGGCTCAGCGAACAAGCCAAAGACCATTGAAAGTTATCGCATCACATAGAGTCTTGCAGAATGACCGATGAGTGCACGAACATCTTATTGACTTATAAATCCTAAAACACGGTGGGCAGTGTGGAGCACTCCATTACGCCGCATCCACGCATCAAACAGTGATAAAGTACACTAGGTTTATAGATCTACATCTGCGAGTAGATCATAAAGTTAGTCACCAATTATGGTTTGCTGGATGTCTTCATCCGGTTCGGAACGGAAGCATCCTGGTCGTCTACCTTATCACCGTTTTCGGTTAGGCCATTGGTCCAAACATCCAGCCAGCCAGCGGAGCAGACGTTTCCCAACATTCCTGAGCATGTAACTGCAGTTAGGATCTGCGGCATCGTAGAGTGCTTGAAGAGAACCTCCGCAGACTATCATGACAACAAAACAGCGTTTGCTTGGTTGAGTCAGGTGGCGCCGACAATGTACTTTCGCGGCCTCAACAACGAACAAGAACAAACAATATAGTTTGAAATTGCCATTGACACGACTCGACATTGAACACACTGGATGGTGGCAACTGCAACTGACTTGGTTTGCATGAAAGTCGAGGAACGTACACAAGAAGCACTCACGCTCATACCACTCTCTTTTGGTTCGTCCACACCAAAGGGATGAAGTACTGGACTCAACTTCTTCTATTGTTGGAGCTCACCAGCAGTGCATATCCTTCGCCGTGCTAGGTCTGAACTCCAGACATCCGACGCGCGAGGCGAGCGTTTTACTACTACTCCACCAGGGCACGCTGGACGCACCTGAATTATACTGTTCACACTTGTGTAGTCTGGTTGGTTTGTCCAAGACAATTGGTGAAAATTTGTAGTCGAATATCTTGTTTACAAGAAGGGCTGTTATTACTGAAAAGCTAAAAGTTTATTAAAAACGTGGGGTTCTTATCAATAGTCACGAAAATCGTTTGTGTAGGCACACTTGGGTGTCCTGTGGTGTGCGGTGTTCTACGAAATTCACCTCAATTTTTCAGTAAATATGATATTTATTGAATGATTTTCTGCCTCGATTCAGTCCACTTACCAGCCCTTGGTGACTCATGTGGAGATAAGTAGAGTGTTCCTGCTGCAGGGTATCACGGGCGAAGAGCTAGGTAGAAGGCATGCAGACAGTGTCATAAATCATTGAAATGGTGGACTGTTTTTCAGCCAGTTGCGTTTCTGCATACACGGGTGGTGAGTTTCAGGTA